CTCCAGCATCCTGCAGCTGTCCCAAACCCTTTGCCATGGTTTAACCCTTCCTGCCTGCCCAAGAACACTTTTTTTGGGGGAGTTTTATCTTCAGCAGGATGATTTCCCTGCCGTGCTGGAGCACCTCCTGCTCACTGTGCTGTTCCTGAACGTGTTCTTTTGGACACTTGGCTCTCACATCCAACTTGTCTCCGCAGTCTCGGCAGCTCTTCCCACTCCTGGAGGCGCGAGGCGAGGCTGGAATCCTGCAGGATGCCAGCGCTAATTTCAGCAGCACGGAGCTGGAGAACACGAGCTCTTTCCTAGAGGGATTCGAGTGGAAGCAGACAGAAGAGCAGAGCCATTTCTCATTCCAGAGCTGGCAGGGAGAGCCGAGGAGGATGTCTGGGCTGCAGAGGCAGGACATGGGGTTGGTTCCAGCACCGGTGACCTGCCAGAGCTGGGGGACTGCTCTGAAGGGTTTGCTGGAGCCTGGCACTGGCCCAGGACTTTTTTTGGGGAGAGACACATGAAAAGCAGAGCTGAGAGGGGACGTGAGGCCCTGAGCCTGGGCTGGGACCATCTGGCAGGAGCCAGCGGCGGAGAAATGGCCTTTGCTTGAGGCCACAACCAGTTCATGCAGCTGCTGAGTTCTGTCGGTCTGGAGTGCTCCAACAGGAGGTCACGGCCCCCAGCCAGCCTCCCTTGGACCAGCAGCTCCATCCCAGCCTCCCCTGGGTCTCAAACTCCATCCCAGCTTCCCTTGAACGAGCAGCTCCATCCCCTGAGGCTCAAACTCCATCTCAGCCTCCCCTGGAGCACAAAGTCCATCCCAACCTCCTCTGAACCAGCAGCTCCATTCCCTGGGCCAGTAGTTCCATCCCCTGAACCAGCAGCTCCATCCCAGCCTCTCCTGAACCAGCAGCTCCATTCCCTGGGCCAGTAGCTCCATCCCAGCCTCCCCTGGACCAGCAGCACCATCCCATGAAGGGAGCACAGCCCAGCCCTGCACACCCATCCTGGGCACACCGAGCTCTTCCCAAAGGTGCGGTGGTTCCTTTTTCCCCCTTTTTGGGCTGCAGAGCCCCTTCCCCCATGGCAGACCCCTGGCTGGTGGGAACGGTGCTGCTGTCACTGTTTCCACATTACTGCCCACTTCAAAGAGCCCGCAGTGAGCCTTGTCCCAGACATTCCCAGGGGAGCCGTTGGTTTCCAGGCAGGATCCCTGGTTATTGGTCCCACTGCAGGAGGTTGTACGGGAAGGGATGAATCCCCGTGGCTGTAAAACACCAAATGTGCTGAGAGCCACTCCAGAGCCTCCCAAAGGCTCGTTACAGCACTGGGTAATTAAAGTCCAGCTGTCACAGCCTCTGCCTGGGCACAAGGGCAGCTCCTTGCTCTGACCACTTCCAGGGGTTCCCAGTTTTCCTTTGCTTTTGCCATCTCATTGTACAAGGAAAAACACCTCTACAAACCCTGGTTCCTGGAATTTGCAAGTGCTCTGGCCAGGGAATGGTCACGTTCCCAAGGCTGCCAGAGCTCCAGGAGCATTTGGACAACACTTCAGGCACAGGGTGGGATTGTTGGGGTATTTATTTCTCTATTTCCAGAAACACCTTCCCACATCCAAACACACATTGGGAAGGAGGCCTTTTCCCTTTGTATTTCAAGAGAATCTTTCTGCTCTGCTCTCGTGGATCATCCTTGTCTCTGCTGGGCCAGTTTGACATCACGGGATGAGCTCTGGAGAGCTCTGCCATCCTCTCCCAAAACCTCTGGGAAAGCAGGTGGGAGCTCAAGCCCATGGCAAAGGACAAATGGGGATTGCCACAGAATCCTGCTGCCAGTCCCTGGGAGAACAAAGGCCTGCTGCAGAGGTGAGTCTGTCCTGCACCAGGCTCAGGTGGGGCTGGGAGCCTCTGGCAGCTGGGATATGGATAAAAATACTCCAGGCTCTGGCAGCCAAGCAGGCTGGAGCTCCTCAGAGAGCAGCTCCCAGCCCAGAGCCCTGGAGGACACCCTGGCCTTCCACGTGTTCCTAAATTAGATCTCCTGAGACCAGCACTGGCTTTTAAAAGGGAGGTGAGCTTGTTAGTGCCCAGCATTATCCCTTAAATGGGAATCAGCAGTTTTACTGCGCTTGGAGGGGCTGTAAAAGGCAAGGAGGGAAGGGGCAGCGTCAGGAAGCAGCAGAGCCCCTTTGCCTGGCACGGAGGGGCCACTCAGGAGCTCTGTAATTGTGAATTTACCAGTGCTGAGGTAGAACAAGCCCCAGACTAAACCCAGCAGCCTTGGGAAGGTGCAAGAAGATGCAGAGAAGGTTTTAGGGGCAGTTCCCCAGCAGGCCCCTTCTCCTGAGGCCAAAACCCCGGGCTGGAAAGGGTCTAAGTGAGGATTGCCAAGCTCTCCACCCATGAAAGTCAGGGTGTGCAGGCTCCTTTCTTCCCAAATCATGGCTTGACTTACACACCCCTGTGCTGCTGGCACAGGAAACCCAGGGAAGTCACATTACAGGAGTAAAAAAAGCTCCTGTGCTGTCAGATTCCCTTCCCAGCCTGCCCAGGGATCAGGGATAGTGGCTGGAAAAGGCTCTCGTGACACTGCTCCAAGGTTTCCTTGGAGAGAGGATTTGGGGTGTAGTTGTGTCTGTTCCCGCCCTTGCAGAGCTCCCGTCTTGTCCTGGAAATACAAATTAATAAGGAAATAAATTAATCAAAAGTGGTGTCTTTTGGTTACAGAGACAGCCCCAGAATTTGAACATAAATGATGGAGAAACATCTGTGAGACCTGAGAGCTGCCAGGCCCCAACTAAACCTCTCCTGCCAAGGCCATTTTGGAATCAGAAGCCAAAATCAAAAGGACAAAACAAACACAAATGACACAGGAATCATCCTGGAAAAGCTCTCAGGAATCTGCCATCGTGTTTTAGAAAGAATGCGGAATTTCTGCTGCTTTAAACTGATTTTACAGTGCAAACCTGGTGCTGCAGCAGCGGCTTTAGGAAAATCTGAACCAACAAAAAGCTTAATCACCTTTTTTAATATTAACCAGTCCCACTCCCTGGAAGGGTTTAGTGATTATTGTCACCTTAACATATGGGAATTTCGCAGAAGAGCTGACGTCCTTCCTAAGGTCAGATGTGATGAGATGGAACCAGGAAAAAAAAAAAAAAATTGGTTCTGGTTTTAAGTGTTAAGCAATTCTGCCTCCCTGAAATAAGCAGTATAATTTATTGGTTTTTTTCTTGCTCACACAGCAAAATCCACAAACTACTGGGACAACCAGGAGGGGAAATTTGTCCCTTCACTTAAACCCGTTTTTGCCTTGTAAAGCTGCATTCCCGAGCCAGCAGCTGCTCCGAAGGGCCGATCCCAGACCCCCCATTTCACTGCAGACACCCCCAGGCTGTTTGGGTTAGAGGATCACCCCAGGACAGCCCAGGTGTGCCAGCCAGCTGGTTTGGGACCACGGAATGGACACACCAGAGCCGACTGCCAGCGTGAGGCCGAAGGCAGCCGCCACTTTCCCAGGGATTTTCCCTTTGCTGTGTGTTTGGAAGGTTACACAGCTGTAAGGCAGACACAGGAGGAGCTGGAAGCCTGCAGGGATCATTGCCTCCATCCCACATGTCCCATGGAAGGAAGCTCTCCCGTGGACTGACATCCCATTAACTCCTGCTGGTGGGAGCCTATTCCTGGGGCTGGAAATCCTTTGGAAGCTCCAACTGCCAGCTGCTCATCCCGCAGATAACTCCGGTCCCATCCCTGACCTGGTGACTCGTATTTATTTTCTCATTTTATAAGAACCAGGCTCTTCCCTGCTCTCATTCCTGGTGGGAACGAGCACTGGCCGGGCGTGAGGCTGCTCCGTCTCCGATACCCGAGATGGAAAACTGGGATCTTGTCCAACAGGCTGTCTGTCTTCCTGGGAAAAACCTCGGCTCCACACGCTCCCAATCGTGCCATCAGCTGGAGCGAGGTGGAACTTCACAGGATGGGACAAGCCAGCCCTTTTTCCAAAATCACCTGCGAGGACACAAAGTGCTTCCAGAGCGCAGGAGAGCTCAGGGAGGAAAATCTGGAGGGCACAAAGCCTGGCAAAGCTTAGAAAAGGGCTCGGTGCGCTCTGGGAGGCAGCAGATGTCTGCCTAGGTCCCCATCAAATAAAACAGATGCGATACTGGGAAGGAATTCCTCCCTGTGTGGGTGGTGAGGCCCTGGCACAGGGTGCCCAGAGCAGCTGTGGCTGCCCCTGGATCCCTGGAAGTGTCCGAGGCCAGGCTGGACGGGGCTTGGAGCAGCCTGGGACAGTGGAAGGTGTCCCTGCCCATGGCAGGAGTGGCCCAGGACGATTTTTAGGGTCCCTTTTCCACGCAAACCCCTCCATATGTACCCCCTTTTCCCGCCATCGGCCCAGCCCTCAGGGACTGAGCCCCGGGGTCTCCCGACCCCGCGCGCAGGGGCTGCGAGCGGCGGGACGCGCCGGGACCAGGCGGGGGCGCCACCGCCCGCGAGCCCCGCTGCGCACGCGCACGGCTCTCCCCTCCCCGGGCGGTGCGCGGGAAGGCAGCGACGGGCCAGACCATCAGGGGGCACTGCGGGGGGGGGGCTGTAATGGCCACAGGACTCCGGTGTGAGGTCTGGAACCCTCCGGGGCTCCGGTGTGAGGCCTGTGAGCCTCGGAGTTCCGGTCCGCGGCTGCCTCAGCCCGGGGAACGCCGTGCAGAGAGCGGGCGCCCCTCGTTAATCACGGCGCTCCCCCCTCAGCCCACGTCCGACATGGCCGCCCACCCCTCACGCCCGCCGTGTCCGTGACAGCCCCGCCCCGGTGGGCGCTGAGGGCCGGGAGCGAAGGGACGGCCCTGGGGCGGGAAAGGGAGCGACCCCGAGGGCAAAAAAGGGTCAAACGCAGGAAAACAAAGGAATTGTTCTGGAACAACAAAGGGACTGGCCCTGAGGGCAGTGAAGGGACCGACCCAGGGGCAGCTCAGCCATCACCAACACCCCAGTTAGAACAGGGACGGAGCTCAAACCCTTTTATTGCCCTTTCCTGGCAGCGCTGGTGGTTCCGCGCTGCTGGGGTGCGATAAGGGACGGGAGCAGGCCTGGGATGGGGACAGCGGCCCTGCCTGGCTGTCACAGCCCCACCCAGGGTGTCCCCGAGACCGGCGGGCTCCAGGCGCTGAATTCCCCGGAATCCGTGATGTCCTTGGCGGCCACCTGGATGTGGTGGAGGCTGCCGGGCTCCAGGTCCGTCAGGGTGTGGGATGTCAGCTCGTACGGCCCCACCTGGGGACAGCGGGGTCAGGGACACGCCGGGCACAGCCACAGCTGTGCCTCAGTTTACCCAGCGGGGTGGCAGTACCGTGGTGGGGACGGAGTCGTTGTCCCGGGAGTAGCGGATGCGGTAGTGGAGCAGGAAATACTCCGGGAATGGCCAGGATGATGGAGGGCTCCACTCCAGCAGCAGCTTCTGGGGCTCCCCAGGGATGGAGGAGACCCGCAGGGCCTCGGGGGGGTCCGGCTTTACTGGGGAGACAAGGAATGAGAGAATTCCAGGATGGTTTGGGTGGGAAGGGACATTGAGGATCATCTCATCCCACCAGGGACACCTTCCACTATCCCAGGTTGCTCCAAGCCCCCATCCAGCCTGGCCTTGGACAGTCCCAGGGACACAGGGGCAGCCACAGCTTCTCTGGGAATTCCATTCCACGGCCTCACCACCCTCACAGCCGAGAATTTTTTCCAATATCCCATCTAAATCCTCCTTTAGATTAAAACCAACCCTCTTGTCCCACCACTGCGTGGAAAAAGTCACTTTCCTTCATTTTCAGATGAAAGGGGGGGATGTCCTGGCTGTGGGATCCAGCATGGGATTGTTGGGGACAGGGCCTTCATGTCCCCTGTGAGCTGTGCAGGGACAGTCTGAGCCCCAGCAAATCGTTGCACTGATGATCCCAAGCAGGGGAGAGCCCCAAAGGGTGAGACAGGAGGGTCCTGCGGGGGACCCCGGCGTCCCCATGCCGCAGCACTCACTGATGTTCTCCAGGAGGAAGGGCAGAGCTCCGGAGGCAGCTCCCAGGGGGTTCCGGGCTGTCACGTTGAGCTCGTAGGGAGTGAGGGAAAACACCTGCAGGTCCCCGAAGGAGCAGCTCCGCGGGCCCGTGGGGGTGCACTCACCTGTGTCTGTGCCGTGCCTGGGGACACAGGGACAGCTGCCAAGGGCTGGGTGACACGGGGAGAGGCTTTGGGGACCCCCACTGACCTGTAGGTAGCCACGAAGTCGGTGTCCAGGAGGGGCTCGGGGCTCAGCCCCCAGGAGCAGTTCACAGCCTGGGGGTAGCTGGTGGCCCAGCACTCGATGGCCGGTGGCGGGGGCGGGTCTGGGGCAGGGGACAGGGGTCACCCCACTGCCAGCACCCCCAGGGACCCCCCGCCAGCAGCGGGGTCACAGCAGGGCTGGGGGCACTCACAGCCCAGCTGCAGGCAGATGGTGGCCCAGGTCTCGCCGGTGACAGGGTGGTGGCAGCTGTAGTGTCCCTCGTGGGCCAGGCTGGCATTGGGCAGGGCCAGCCCCGGGGCCGGGGACGTGCCCAGGACAGTGTCCCCCCGGCGCCACTCGGCCTCACCCCCCGGGCACAGCAGCAGCACCTCAGTGCCCAGGGAGCCGTGCTGAGGGGTGCAGGGGTCTGGGGGACACATGGGGACACGGTAGGGGCAGGGACACTGCATCAGGAAGGGTCTTGGCCTTCCTGGGCCACCCAATGCCATTCCCAGTGTCCCCAGACCCCCACCTCTGCCCCTGGTCCCCCCATGTCCCCAGACCCCCAGGCATCCTCCATACCCATCTTCTGCACCCCAATGTCCCCAGTCCCTCCCACTGTCCCTCAGTGTCCCCACACTTCTGTGCCTAGAGACCCTGTCAGTGTCCCCTGTCCCCTCACCGTCCCCAATCCCCTCCATCCCTGCTCCCTCCATCTCCAACCCAGTGCTCCCAGTCTGCCCAGTCCTGCTGTATCCAGGATCCCCAGATCCCTCCAGTCTCCATCCCAGTCCCCTCAGTCCCCCATACCTCTGTCCCCATTGTCCCCATCCCCAGTGCTCCCTGCCGTGCCGTTGTAGGGGACAGTGCAGGCAGGTGCCACCAAAGCCACGACCCAAAGCCACCTCATGCCAGGAGACTCAGCAGGGCTGCCCAGGCACCTGTGGGGACAGGCAGGAGGGTCAGACCCCAGCACCGGGGACAGCACAGACACCACATGTCCCCAGGGGGCCAGGGACATCACCCTGGAGCCACCCCACACTGCTGGGCCTCAGTTTCCCCTCCGGCCCTGTCACACACCCTGCAGAGGGATGGGTTCCAAAGGGGTCAGACCCTACAACCAGGAAAGAGGGGGTGAAAAATTCCCGCTGTTCCTACAGATTCCCAGGGGGACATGCAGCCACCCCTGCAGTCCCACACCTGGAGTCAGGGGTTTGTATCCCTCGGGTGGGTCCCCACCTCCATCCAGGGCAGGACTGTCCCTCACAGAGACCCCCAAAGCCCGGCCTGGGGGCTGAGCTGAGCTCCCTGCTTTCCCCAAGCCCAGCACTACAGGGACAGGTCCTGCCCTTGTCACCTCCCACCACAGCCCTGGGCTGGCTCACCCTCAAAGGGGACACGCTCTGCTTTCCCTGGATTTGGGGGTGCCCCAAACCCGACGCTGTGGGCTCACCCCAGACCTCCGACACCCCCTGCACTGCCCGTGGGGATCCCAGTGCCCCCAAACGCTCACCGCAGCAGGGCCAGCTGGGACCGCAGTGTCCCCACCGGATCCCGGCGCTTCCCAGCCCATTTCCTCGCAGGAAGTGCCGTTCCCGTGGGGACGGAGCCGCTTCCCAGCGTGCTGCCACCCACTCCCCGCGCCCCTGGGGAAGGGATTCCAGCCCTGGCCAAGAGTTCCCACCTCTCCCCGGCCACCACTCCCTTCCTTCACGGTCAGCTTTCCCCTCAAGGGACGGCAGGGTTGGAGATGGTGGCACCAATCCCCTGCTGTCACCAGGTCCCCACAGCCCCCCGTGGTCACCCCGGTGCCCCCAGAGAGGAGCCACCCCATTAGTGTGACTATAAATAACTTTATTGCTGCTGTGCTGGGGGTGGGCTGGGTGCCCGGACAAGCAAAGGGACACACAGGGTGCTGTGACAGACCTGTCCCCCCGTCCCTGTGCCACCCGTGCTGGCAGGGGCTCATCTGCCCTGCTCCTGCAGCCGCTGCATCCTCAGGATCTGGCACAGGAGTCTCTGCACGTCCTCGTCCATGTGGCCCTGGGGTGGAGGGGACATTGGTGGGGACATCAGGGAGGCTCTGTGCGTGTCCCTGGGCTGGCACCTGGCTCAGCCCCTCCATTGCCTCCTGTGGATGGCCCAGTCCCCACCCCAGTGTCCCCAGCTGTCCCCAACCCTGTCCCCAGCTCACCTGCACAGCATAGAGCAGGTGGCTCCGGTAGAGCGTCACCACCTTGCTGTGCCTCGTCTCTGTCTCCTGCAGCACAGGGAGGGGGTTTGCCCACAGGGCTGGGGGCTCGGGGGAGCCCCAAACCCACCAGGTGACCCACCTCCAGCTTCTCCTCCAGCGCCCGGATCCGCGCCTGGAGCGCGGCCGTGTTGGGTGGGGATTGCGGGGGCCCCCCCGACTCGGGGAGAGCGTTCAGGGCTTCCTTCAGCCTGAAAACCTCCTTGGAGAGCTCCGTGATCTGCACAGGGCACAGGAGTTACAGGTTACCCAGAGCAGCTGTGGCTGCTCCTGGATCCCTGGCAGTGTCCGAGGCCAGGCTGGACGGGGCTTGGAGCAGCCTGGGATGGTGGCAGGTGTCCTTGCCCACGGCAGGGGGTGGCACTGGATGAGCTTTAAGGTCCCTTCCAACCCAAATTCTGTGACTCTACACGTGTGGCCACCATTCCCCTCCAAGTAGCCCCTCATGATTTCCCATCCCCTACCTTCCTGTCCCTGTCCCTGACCAGCCGTGCCGCGTCCTCGGCGTGGCCGTGGAGCTCCCGCAGCCGCCGCGCCTCATCCTGGGCCTGCTCCAGCTGCTTCTGCGCGGCGCCCAGCCTGTCCTCGGCCGCCTGCCGCTCGCTCTTCATGAACAGCGCCTGCCGCTGCACGCGGAACACCTCCTCGCACGTCTTCTCGTGCCGCCGCTCCAGCTCCTGCAGCCGCTGCGCCAGCGCCGCCGCCTCCGCCCGCAGCCCGGCCTCGGCCGCCTCGTGCTGCGCCCGCGGCACGGCCGAGGGTGAGGCCTCCGCCTGCTGCCGTGCCGGCTCCGGAGCTCTCGGCGCGTCCCGCGGCCTCGCCTCCAGCTCCCGCCGCAGCGCCTCGGCCTCGGCCTCGGCGCGCCCGCAGCGCTCCAGCAGCGCTTCCTTCTCCCGCGACGCCTCCTCCACAGAGGCTCCCGGCGAGGCCGCGGCCTCCGCAGCCTCCAGCCGGGCCTGCAGCTCCTTCAGCCGCCGCTCCCGCTCCTCCAGCTCGGTCTGTGCCCGCTTCAGGGCCGCCCGCGCCTCCGCCAGCTCCGCGCCCGGCTCCCGCTCGCCGGAGGGTGAGGAGGAGGAGGATGTCTGCACCCCCAGCTCGCCCAGTGCCGCCTTGCACTCGCCCCAGGCCCAGGCCGGCTCCTCGGCGGGACGTGGCCCCGCGGTTCCCTCCGGGATGGGCTCCGAGGCCGCGCGCTGCCCGTCCCCTCCGGCCCGCGCCGTGGCCTCCCTGCCCTGCGCCCGCAGCCGCTCCAGCTCCCGCTGCAGGGCCTGGTACAGACTGACGGGCACCACGTCCCCCTGGGCAGGGGGGCTGCTCTCGTCCCGCTCGTAGTTCTCCAGCACCTGCCGAAAGACCGTGAGGCCACCATGAGCCAGGGGACAAGGAACAGAGGGACAGACGGACGGACAGAGGGGGACGTGCCTGGATTTTCTCCCTCAGCTCCTTGTTCTGCACGGTCAGGGACTGCACCTGCCCCTGGAGTGTGGCCAGCAGCTCCTCGGCCGAGGGGCTCAGCGTCTTCTTGGATAGCAGCATCTCCGCTCCTGCAGGGCACAGGACCTGGGGCTGTGCCCACCTGTGCCCCCACTGCCAGTGCCACCTCCCCAAGGTGTCACTGGGAGGCTGGCAAGACCTACCTGGGAACTCAAGTGGGTCTCCCTCCTCATCCTGCAGCGTCTCTATGTCATAGCTCGTGTTCTCCTTCTCATTCTGGGGGTGCAGGGTGGAGGTGACCCCCCTGTCCCCAGCCCTGGGCACTGCCAGCTGTGCCCTGCCCACACCCACCTCCATCGAGGATAGGCGGCTCCGCAGAGCCTCCACCTCCTTGCCCAGCTTCTCCTTCTCCCCATCCCGTGCCACCAGCCGCTCCTCCAGCTCCTGGATCTGCAGGGCAGGACATGGAAATAGTGTCCCTTTGGCTCCTGGCAGAGTCCTGGTGGCATTCCCAGCACCAGGACCCCTTGCAGAGCTGAGGTCACCTCCAGGCTCTTCCCTGGCCTCACCCGTTTCTCCATGGAGCGCAGGGAGGCCTCATCCAGCTCTGCCCGCTGGCAGGACCCAGGGAGAGAACAGGGAGGGGTGAGTGCTGTCCCCATCTCCCCAGTCCCCTCTGCTCCCCGGGGACACGGTGTCATGTCCCCAGGACCCTGCAGCCGGTACCTCCCGTCTCTGCTTCTCCTGCTGCTCCAAGCCCCGGATCTTCTGCAGGAACTGGGCCCTCTCCTGCCGCAGCCGCACGATCTCCTCGTAGGCATCCCGGTCCTCCTGCAGGGAATCACAGAAAGCATTGAGTCCAACTCCTGGACACCCCAAAAATCCCACTGTGTTCCCAAGGGGGCTTTTTGGCACTGACCCCCCAATGAGGGAACCCCTCATCAAGGTGTTTTGGGCTGCTCGGAAAGCATTGAGTCCAGCTCCTGGACACCCCAAAAATCCCACTGTGTTCCCAAGGGGGCTTTTTGGCACTGACCCCCCAATGAGGGAACCCCTCATCAAGGTGTTTTGGGCTGCTCTGCACCTGCCAGGCCAGGTGAGGACCTGGGGACCCATTTCTCACCTGGCTGGGGGTGCCCATGGGAGGCAGAGGGGCCTTCCTCTTCCTCGGGGTGCTGCTCTTCTCCCTGACAGATGACTGGCTGGGCGAAGACGTCTGCAGGCACCCCAGGGCAGAGGGGACGTCACACCCACAGTGCCCTCCCTCCTTCCTGAGCCAGGGGACCCTCCAGGGACAGGCACCAGCCCCTCACCTGCGACGCCTGCTCAGTTGACTCCTCTTCTGTGGGGCAGAGCGGGAGGGAAGAGAAATTGAGGAGATTTAAGGGCTCAGAGCTCAGAGCAGAGTCACCTCGGTTTCCGACAGCAAAAGCAAAGGCATCCCCAAACACCCAGAAAAAGGCGACACATCCCCGCAGCCTCTGCCAGCCCTGCCCGGCCGGTGACAGCCCCCCAGTGACGGTGACAGGGAGCCCGGGGTGCCCCTCAGCCTCACCGCTGGCCCAGGAGCGGCGCTGGGCCGCCTCCTGCAGCAGGTGCTGGATGAGAGCGTTGCCCGTGGCCAGCCCGTAGTGAGCGGCGTCGTGGCCGGTGGCGTCCACCACGGCCACGCGGGCACCGGCGCTGACCAGCACCTCCACGGTGTCCACGCTGCCGCTCTCGCAGGCCAGCATCAGGGCTGTCCTGGGCACGGGGAGAGCGCGGGTGAGGGGACAATCCCTGCGGCCGCTGCCGGCCCCCAGCCTGCGGCCCCACCTGCCCTGCAGGTCCCGGCAGTTCACGGCGGCCCCGCGGTGCAGCAGGTACCGGCACAGCTCCGAGTGGCTCATCTTGGCTGCCAGGATCAGCGGCGTGGAGCCATCCTGGGCACGGCAGGCAGGAGGGTGAGCAGAGGAGGCTCAGATCCCCCACGGGGCAGCCTGCTCCTGATATCACCCCAATTTCCACATCCCACCCCAATTTCCACATCCCACCCCAATCTCCACGTCACACCCCAGTTTCCACGTGCCACCCCAATTTCCACGTCCCACCCCAAGCTGTGCTGAGTTTTCAGACAGCCCCAGCCTGGCACAGCAGGACCAGGAGCAGATGGACCCCACCTTGTCCTTGCTGTTCAAGGGAGCCTTGAAGTCACAGAGGATCTCGGAGCAGGAGATGCAGCCGCTGGCAGCTGCGGACAAGGACAGAGGCTGAGCACTGCCCCCACGGGGACAGGAGCAGGACAGGGCTGGCACTGTCCCTACTCACCCGCCAGGTGCAGCGCGGTCCGGCCACTGCCATCGGCCACGTCCACGGGACAGGAGGCCTGGGGGGAGAGCCTGGGTCACGGGAGGAGGGGGACAGAGGGACAGACTGCTCGAGTGGCTCTGTGGCACGGTGAAGGACAGGGGACTGACAGAGTCCGTGGTGTGGTGAAGGAGGGGACAGACAGACAAACCCCCTCTGGCTCCACGCTGTGGTGAAGGACAAGGGACTGACCCCTGTGGCTCCCTGGTGCCAGGCAGCAGCACACAGAGCTGGGAGCCACCATGCCAAGGCACTGGTGAGGGAAGGGGGTTCAAGGACAGGGAGGACACTCCGCTGGCACAGCACCTCCCTCCCTCCCTCTGTCCCTCCTCCCTCTCCCTGTACCTGCAGCAGTTTGCTGACACACTGAGGGTGGCCGTGCTTGGAGGCCAAGTGTAGGGCAGTGTAACCTGGGAAGGGACAAACAGGTCAGAGCACGGCCAGCAGGGCTGTGCCAGAGGGGACAGCTTGGGGACAGAGAGACAGGAACAAAGCAGGATCTTCTGGAATGGCACTGAACAGGAAGGGGACAACCCCAGGAGCTCATCAGGCACTGCTTGAGCTCCTTAGGAAACTGGGACAATTTACAGCCCCCAGGTGTGGCCACCACCTCTGTCCCCTGAGCCTCAACACCTGGGGACGACCAGTGGCCCTGTGTGACCCATGGCATTAGGCAGGGCCACGTGGTGGCCATGGCCTCACCCGAGCTGTCCTTGGTCATGGCATCCACGCCGTGGGCCAGCATTGCTTCCAGGCAGTCCACGTTGCCCCGCGTGGCAGCCAGATGGAACCTGCAGCGAGACCAGGGGCTGTGGGACTCGTGTCCCCTGTCCCCAGCCGTGTCCCCAGCGCAGGGCCTGGCACTCACGCGGATTTGCCCTCCGAGTCCAGCTTGGTGGGCACCAGGCCCTTGCGGAGCAGGAGCGACGTGACCCGCCCGGCATCATTGTAGTCCACGGCCTGCAGCAGCTTCTCGTCGTTCTTGGTCCAATCCTGGCTCTGCAACAGAGCCCAGAGGAGGTTGTGACAGCGTCAGCTGTGACAGTGCTGTCCCCAGGGCGGGCAGGGCTGGGCTGGGCTGGCTGTCCTTGTCCCCAGCCCTGTCCCTGGGGGTGGCCGTGTCTGTGCCCCTCTCCTGGAGCTCACCCTTGGTATGGAGAGTTCAGCAGGGACTGGGATGAAAATCCCCTCCAGCCCCCCCAGTTTGCAGCTCACAGAGCAGGGGATTTACACACAGCCCCGTTTAGATGTGCCAGGCTGGGATTTGGGAGTGAGCCCAACTGCCCCGGGGTTTGCCCCTGCCACCCTGAAATCCCACAACTAAACCCATCCAGCACCCATGGGAGCCCCAACCCTGCCCATTCTCCCCGCTGATCCCATTCCCAGCCCTGCTTTGCTCCCGGAGGAGGGAGGGATCAAAGCAGGGCGAGCACAGCTGGCAGCGCGAGCAGATCCCTGGGGATGCTCCAGCCTCCCGGGATAACGGGGCACAGCGCTGTCCCCCCCAAAAACAGGACCGCGGCTGCTTGGGATTTGCTCTCCCGGCGCTCCCGCACATCCCTGTCCCGAAGGAGCGACCCGCAGCGGGACAGGACCAGGACAGGGACTGCAAGTCCTGGGTTCACCCCGCAGCCCGTGACGACAAAGCGGCGCTGGCTGCGCTCGCGGCGGCAGGAAATGGATGTCACCTTTCGGGAGCCGCTGGCACCTGTCCCAAACCCGCCCGTGCCCGCCGGTGCCCCCCGAGCCCCTCCAGCCCCGTGGGACCAGGGACAGGGAACAAACCGGTCTCCCAGGGTACCTGGACAAACTGGGAGGGTGGTGCCCGCTCCCCCCACTCCCTGGCCAGGCAAGGACAAAGCAGGACGGGGAGGACACGGGGGAGCCCCGGGATGGGGATGGGGATGGGGGGTGCAGGTGGGGCGGGGGGGACGCGGCTCAGCCCGCAGGACGCGACCGGAGGGGAGCCGCGAGGGGAGCGGGACGTACCGCGAAGGAGGCGGCGGCACAAAGGCAGATCTGCTTCATGGTGCTGAGCAGGAGGCGGCGGGAGGACGCCATGCGCCCCTCGCCCCCCGCCCCGGCCAGCACGGGCACCCCCGAGCCCGAAGCGCTCCGGCATCGCCGCCCGGGCGGGGGCCGGGGCTGCGGCAGTGGGAGCCGGACCCGCCTCCTCCACCCCCGGCCCTCCCTCCTTCCCTCCCTCCTCAGCGCATCCCTGCATCCCTGCATCCCGCCACGGAGCGGGGAGCAGCTCCCAGGCAGGGACCGGCACCCAGACTGGTCCCAGTTAAAGCAGAGAGGTTACGGGGGGGCAGCTGTCGCACCTCGTGCTCAAAAGCTCCCCCAAACCAGGGCTGAGCATCCTCCTGGCCCCCGAGGAGGGGGACTGGGACCCCTCACCCTGCCCTGGGGCCCCCAAACACCCCTCAGGGAGGAACCCCGAAACACAGAGGGTCCCCAGGCGCTGTCCTGGCAGTCCCGGTGGCAGCAGGACATCGGGAGCCTCTCAGGGACATGCCCAGGGCAGTGTGGGGAAACTGAGGCACGGAGCACCCTGAGCAGGATGGTGCCCCAGACTCCAGATGAGGGGCCTCAAGCTGTGTCCCCATGTCCCCAGCTGTGTCCCTCTGTGCACTGGGGACAGCGCTGTCCCCCTCTGCCCTCTGCGGCCCCGTGCCAGGCTGCTGCTGAATAATTGAGGAGCATCGACAGGCTGGTTCCACGAGCTGTGGCAGCTGGCAAAGCGGCACTTGTCCCCAGGAAGGGGACAGGGAGGGGACCTGGCACCCGCTTCCCTGTCCTTTGCCCTGCCCTGCTCCCAGCAATGGCTCTGGGAGCACTGGGGGTGCACTGGGGGCTCGATCCCACCAGCCAGGGTGGCACTGCCAGCCTCCGTGGGGCTGCTGTCCCCGTTGTGAGCGACCACCCCGTGTCCCAGAGCAGGTCCCCGTGTCCCTGTGACACTGAGAGCATCCTGGGCGAAATCCCCAGGTCCTCACGTCCCAGTGAACATCCCATGGCAGGTCCCCGTGTCCCCATGGACATCCTGGAGCAGATCCCCGTGTCCCCACGGACATCCTGGAGCAGATCCCCGTGTCCCCACGGACATGCTGGGGCAGGTCACCGTGTCCCCGTGTCCCCAGGGATGGCACTCACATCTGCCTTCCTGAACTTGGCCTTCAGGCTCTTCATGGTGGCTCAGCCTCAGCCCTGCGGCAGCTGCTCGGGGGGGATGGCCACGCTCCAGGAGGGTCTGTCCCTGCCTGGGGACAGCTCAGCGTCCCCGATCCCGCTGCTCCCAGCCCGTCCTGCCCTTCCCAGCGCAGCGCCCGCAGCCGGGAACCGGAGCCGGGGATTGTGTTACGGCCGCGGCTGCGGTTACAGCCCCGGGCAGCCGGGGGGGCCGGCCCGGGCTGTGTTTGGGGACAGGGGGACACGGCCCGGGGGTGCTGGGGGTGCCTGGGGAGCGCTGGGCCCTGATGGTTGGCACCCCTTGCCCATCGCAAACACCCCCCGCCCTTGGTGGCACCTCTTGTCCTGGCCTGACACCTCCTTCCCCGCCCTGGCAGCCCCTGGCTCTGCCAGCACCTCCTGCTCGTGTCAGCATCCCCTGCTCCTCCCTGGCACCCCCGTCCCTCCCTGGCCTCCCCTGCCTTTGTCAGCACGCCCTGTCCTTCCCTGGTAGCCACCGCTCTGCCCTGGCACCCCTGTCCTTGCCAGCACCCCCTGTCCCTCCTTCCTTCCTTCCTTGGCACCCCCTGGTTTTGCCAGCACCCCCTGCTCTCCCTGGCACCCCTTGTCCTTGCTGGCACCGCCTGCCCATCCCTATTCTCCCCCGGGCTGGAGGGTCAGTGCAGGTGGGGCAGTGTCGGGGCAGTGTCTCAGCAGTGTCGGGGCAGTATCGGGACACTATCGGGACACGTTCAGGCTCCGGGCAGTGCCGGGGCAGTGTCTCGGCAGTGTCGGGGCAGTGTCGGGACACTCTCAGGCTCCGGGCAGTGTCGGGGCAGTGTCGGGGCAGTGCCAGGGAGGTGTCGGGGCGGTATCCGGGCTGTATGGGGATACTCTCAGGCTCGGGGCACTGCCGGGGCAGTATTGGGCAGTCTCAGGATACTCTCACTCTCCGGGCAGTGCCGGGGCAGTGTCCCGGCAGTATCGGGCACTATCGGGGCACTATCGGGACACGTTCAGGCTCCGGGCAGTGCCGGGCAGTGTCTCGGCAGTGTCGGGGCAGTGTCGGGGCAGTGTCTGGGCAGTGTCTCGGCAGTGTCTCGGCAGTGTCCCGGCAGTGTCCCGGCACTATCGGGGCACTATCGGGCACTATCGGGACACGTTCAGGCTCCGGGAGGGACCTCGGCGCTGTCGGGCCCAGCTGAGGGCAGCCCCGCCTTGCCCGGCTCCAAGATGGCGGCGGCGGCCCCGGGGCGTGTCCCGCGGCCCCGGCCCCGCCCGGCTCTTCCGGCCGCGCCGCGGCCGCGCCGATGGCGGTGAATTACGCGGCCGGGCTGTCCCCGTACTCGGACAAGGGCAAGTGCGGCCTCCCCGAGGTGAGCGCGGCACCGCCGGGTGAATCCCCGCCCGCCCGGGGGAGCCTCCGCCCGCCCGCGGCGCCCCCCGCCCGCCCGGGCCTCCCGCGGGCCCTGCCGCGGCCCGGCGCGTTCCCATGGCAACCGCGGCCTCGGCCCCACACCGGGGAGGCACCGGGCCCTTTGTGTGTCCCCAGCACGTCCCGCGGCTCCCTCCCTGTCCCTCTTCCGTGGGTGCCTGTCCCCAGACACCCCATGGCTCCCTCGTCCCCCTCATGCCCCCCCAGGCCGCCCCCAGCTCCCTCCTCGGAGCCCCTCCATGTCCCCTTCATGGCCTCCCTGCCCCAGTCCCTCCTTCTCCCCCCAGTGCCCCCCATGGCTCCGTCCGTGTCCCCCCTGAGCCCCAGCAGTTCTTGGGAAGCTTAAAACAGGCTTTGGGGGGATCCACAGGGACATTCAGGAGCCTGAACTTGGCCAAGGGGATGGCGAGGGGACAGGGTCCTGTCCTCGTCCCTGTCCCCAGGAGATGGGGCTGGAGAAGTACCTCGGGAATTGAATCTACTGCCCAAACCGGTGTCTGGTGTCCCCACCTCCATGGCTCCCATGTCCCTCGCTGTCCCTCAGCCCTGCCCTGTGCCCAGAGCTGGTGGCACTGCTGGTGACAGCTGGGGCTGAGCACACGTGGGGTGGCCCCGGGTGGCTCTGGAGCCCAGCCTGGGCCAGCTGCCTGTCAGAGCAGCAAAATCCCTGTTGGTGTTGGGTGTTCCCAGCCCTGTCCCTGCACGGAGATGCTCCAGAGAACACAGTCTCTTCTATTAAATGTTTCTGTCGTTAAGGAACACGAAATCCTTCATGGATAAGGAAGAATTGTGGGTTACTGGGGCTCTAGAATCATGGAATCCCGGAATGGTTTGGGTTGAAGGGACCTGAAAGATCATTCAGTCCCAACCCTGTCATGGCAGGGACACCTTCCAGGCTGCTCCAAGCTCTGTCCAGCCTGGCTTGGACATTCCCGGGATCCAGGGGCAGCTGCTCTGGGAAATCCATTCCAGGGCCTCTCTACCCTCACAGGGAGGGATCCCTTCCCCATATAACGCACATCTCTCCATCCCACGCTGGTTTTTGTGTTTGCCCAGATTTTTGACCCTCCGGAGGAGCTGGAGCGGAAGGTGCAGGAGCTGGCAGAGCTGATCCGGAGCTCCTCCCATGTGGTGTTCCACACGGGGGCAGGGATCAGCACGGCCTCGGGCATCCCTGACTTCAGGTGAGTCCATGGGAGGGTGGCACCTCCTCCCAGCCCATCTTCCTTCACTGAAGGCTCCGATTTAACCCAGACCTGCCCCATCCCTGCTGTCCATCCTGATCCAGCTGCAAACACCATTTTCCCTCTTGCCCAGCTCAGCTGTTGCCACAGAATCCCCGCATTGTTTGTATCAACCCCCAGATTCCTGCTGATCCCTGAGCTCTGCTCCCATGGATGGGGCACCTGGAGCTTGAGCTCTCCCTTCCTGCTCTCCCCAGGGGCCCCAATGGTGTCTGGACTATGGAAGAGAAAGGGCTCTCCCCAAAATTCGACACCACCTTCGAGAATGCCAGGCCCTCCAAGACTCACATGGCGCTGCTGGGGCTGCAGAGAGTGGGAATCCTGAAATTCCTGGTCAGCCAGAACGTGGACGGCCTGCACGTGCGCTCAGGATTCCCACGGTACTTTCCCAGCCCCACACAGAGGGTTTCATTCCCAGGGAATCTCTGCCCTGTGTGATACGAGGAGGGGAAGCTGGAAGGGGATAAACCAGCTGGAATTTAGAGGGGAGAGGTTCTGGTTCTGATGCAGAGGGTCATGGAATGAAATGAATTGGTTGTTGCTGTCTAGAAATGCTTCCAGGTGCTGTTTGTGCACAGGAAAAACAGATTATGGAATCGTGGAATCCCAGAATGGTTTGGGTTGGGAGGGACCTTAAAGCCCATCTCATTCCCCTGTGCAGGTGTCTGTGCAGGGCCAGGGTTTGGATCCCTTCCAGCTCAGGATATTCTGTGATCCCTGGGAACAGTCAGGGCCAGGCTGGAGGGGGCTTGGAGCAGCCTGGGACAGTGGGAAGTGTCCCTGCCCATGGCAGGGGGTTGATCTTTTGAGCTCCTTTCCAACCCAACCCATTCTGTGATTCCATGAGTCAGGATGTGAGTGAGGAGCATCCCTGTGTCCTTGGAGAAGGTGCCTCTCTCAAACTCCTTCAGCCAGAGCTGCCTCCAGAGCATTTCCTGTCATTACAAGCCCCAAGTCCTGGGTCTTGCCCCCAGCCCCGTGTTTGTCTGTTTAATCTAAACAACCATGGGAAAAGCAGTAGGGAATGATGACAGAATTCCATGGTGCTCCCACAGCCTGGAGCCACTGGCTCCTGTTCAGTTCAGCCCAGCTCTGCCTCCCAAATGAAGCCTGTGCTTGAATAAGCTGAACTGGGGCCAAACTGGGGGGAATCAAGTCAGTCCTGTCTCACGCAGCCTGGAGGAAGTTCCCAGTCAGCGTGGGGCTCTGAGGAAAATACAGAGAGCACGGCCGTGTTTTCCTCTGCTTCTGCTCTGAGCCTGAGGGGAATTTTAGGAAAAACAGGTGTCAGAGGGCTGGAACAGCACAGGGGCAGATAAGAGTGTTGGGTGCTGGAAAAGCAAAGATCTGGATGTTCCCAGGAGCAGATATTTGAGTGGATCAGGAGCTGCAGATGGAAACATTAAAATTAAAAGGCCAGGATCTGCTGTCCCTTCCCCAGTCGCTGTTGGGGGATGAACCCATCACCTGGCAGGGCTGGAATGAGGGAAGCCCTTGAGGTTCCTGGGGAGGTATAGGGTTCCCCCAGGGCTCCCCACCCTTCCCCAGCTCACCTGTGCCTTTCTCCCACAGGGACAAGTTGGCCGAGCTCCACGGGAACATGTTTGTGGAAGAGTGCGTGAAATGCGGGAAGTACGTGAGCCCTGGGGGGGCTGGGCTGGGATCCCCATCTCAGGGGAAACTGGGATCCCCATCCCGGGGGAAACTGGACTGGGATCCCCATCCCAGGGGGAAACTGGACTGGGATCCCCATCCCAGGGGAAACTGGGCTGGGATCCCCATCCCAGGGGGGAAGCTGGGATCCCCCTCCCAGGGGAAGCTGGGATCCCCCTCCCAGGCTGTGCCCACCTCCAGCCCCTGGCTGAGCAGCTCTGTGTCCCTCCTGCAGGCAGTACGTGCGCGACGCCGTCGTGGGCAGCATGGGGCTCAAGCCCACGGGCCGCCTCTGCAGCGTCACCAAGGCCCGGGGGCTGCGGGCCTGCAGGTAGGGATCCCTCCTGGGCTGTGGGATGGGGACGTGACCCAACAGCCCCTCAGATTTGGGAGAAGCAGCCCAAGCATCCCTGCAGGTGGGATGGGGACATCATCACCCAACAGCCCCTCAGATTTGGGAGAAGCAGCCCAAGGTGCAGGAAGATCTCTCTGGGTGCTCTCCATCCCTTCAGAATGTGGGGACAGGGAGGGTGGGACAGGCTCTGGTCATTGTCCCCTTTGCTGCCTGTTCTCCTACCTTTTCCAGGGAAAACCATGATCCCTGTGTGTGTTTTCCAGAGGGAAGTTACGAGACACTATTCTGGACTGGGAAGATTCCCTGCCTGACCGTGACCTGACGCTGGCAGATGAAGCCTGCAGGTACTGACACTGCTCAGGAGGGGAACAGTCCCTTCCCACCCATCCGTGCTCTGATTCTGGATTTCTGCTCCTCCCTGCAGGAAAGCTGATCTCTCTGTGACACTGGGGACCTCTCTGCAGATCAAACCCAGCGGGAACCTCCCGTTGATCACCAAGAAGAGAGGAGGGAAATTGGTCATTGTCAACCTCCAAGCAACCAAACACGTGAGTGAGCGTCCTACAGCGCTGCACTGCTCCTTCCCCCTCCTGTCCCCTCTTCCAGGCCCATCCCATGTTTGTCCCTGCACGTTGTCCCCTCCCAGGTGGCCTCTTAGCAGGCAAACAGGCTGGGAGTCCTGGGTTGGAGGGTTTAAACCTGCAACTCCTGCTAAACACGTAGAGATGGCAGATAAATATTAGAATCGTGGAAAGGGCTGGGTTGGAAGGAACCTTAAAGCTCATCCTGTTCCCTCTGCCCTGGGCAGGGACACCTTCCACTATCCCAGGCTGCTCCAAGCCCTGTCCAACCTTATCCAAGCAAGTCTTAGGAGCAGAGTAAAAGCTCAGCCTGGAGCCTGCTGTGTCCTCTCGGGGTTTACAGCCTGATGGAAGGGCCACACACATGGAGCCTGTGGAGGGCATGCTCAGTTCCTGCTCAGATGTTGGTGCCCCAGTTGTCCAAAGTCTTTAATACCCAGAGCTGGGGGTTCCTGTGATGTCACCAGAGCTCCCTTGTGCCTGTCACACTCTGTCCCTGCTCTGTCCCTGTGTCCCCATCCCCAGGTGTGGCTCAGCCCACACCCCAGCAGAGCCCTGGGGCCAGCTCACGTCCCACTGGGAATGACACCCAGGGGACATCACTGTGTCCCTGGGCGGTTTGTCCCCTGAGCCGTGTCCCGCCGTCCAGGACCGCCAGGCCGACCTGCGCATCCACGGCTACGTCGACGAGGTGATGACCAAGCTGATGAAGCACCTGGGGCTGGAGGTGCCCGAGTGGACGGGGCCGGTGGTGGTGGAGAGCGCCGAGCTGGCCAAGGGCGAGCAGCTGCAGGGGCGGCTGAAGGAGGAGCCCCTGGGCCAGCACAACGGCACCGGAGCGCCGCGCGCCGGGAACGCGCCGCTGGAGCACCGCGACGGGCTCAAGCAGGAGCGCCCCAGCCCGGACACGGGGCCAACGCCCGTGAAGAAGATGAAGGTGGAGCCTCTCCTCACCTGACCTGGACTGTCCCTGTCTCACCTGGGCTGCTTTTCCTACCGACTTTTTTTTATACCCTTAAATATTTGTCCCTTTTTTTATGTCAGTATTAAACATACTTGAATTGTGGCTCGCGGAGCAGCTGCACCCACGGGCCTGAGGAGGGTCTTGCATAGAGAAATTCTTCCCTGTGAGGGTGGTGAGGCCCTGGAATGGAATTCCCAGAGAAGCTGTGGCTGCCCTTGGATCCCTGGAAGTGCCCAAGGCCAGGATGGATGGGACTTGGAGCACCATGGGACAGTGGAAGTTGTCCCTGCCCATGGCAGAGGTGGCACTGGATGAGCTTTGAGGTCCCTTCCAACCCAAACCATTCCATGACTAATTCCACGTCACTTGGTCACAGAAGGAGACTGGTGCTGGCTGGATCCAGTTGGACTCGGGGCTGGGAGCTGTGGGAGGGTGCCCTGGCCCCAGCTCCAGGTTGGGCATGGCCGTGTGTGCCCCCCACTTCTGGGCCCCTCATGGCAGCTGGGCTTGAGGTCCCCCTGGCCCAGGGCTCCTTAAAACCTTTTGGATCACCCCCTCTTAAACTACAGCAGGTGGATTTTTTCCAAAATATCTTATATTTAGAGATGAAAATAAATTTCTAAAACCAAAAACCAAAACAAAACAAAAGAGCAAAACCAACCAGTTGCACCATCAGCAGCCAACCAGGCCAGGGCTCCTCCTGCTTCCTCAGCCCCATCCTGAGTGACCTCAGGTCCTTTCCACAACTCCCACTGTGCCAGGGGGGCAGGAGCAGCCCCCTTCCTCCCAGTAAGGCCAGTGGGAGCCAGTCTCCTCTTCCCAGTTCACAGAATCCAAGCAAAGCCAAGCAGGTCCAGCATCCGGAGGCAGATCCCAGAGGGGTCCCCCCGAGGGCGTGTCCTGTAGGGGATGAGGTGCTGTCACCCCATGGCACCCCCGTGCTCCCTGCTGTGCCTAAAGCTCCTCCACCGGCTCCAGCACCGCGGGCCGGCTGTGCCCAGGCTCGGACCATGCCAGGGATGCCAGCCCCGGGTGTGGCACGGAGCCACCCCCTGGCACAGCATTGGCGTGGTCCCTGTCCTCATGGCTCAGCCCCTCGGTGGCCGATGCCCGCGTGTCGTTCTGGAGGGATCCTTTGTCCGGGAGTGCTGGGGATGTGCCCTGGAAAGCCTCGTGCAGGGTCTGGGGGGTCTCCGGGGGCTTCTCCTCCCCGGCCTGGGGCTGGGTGTGAACCACGCGGGAGGCGGCGGCGTTGTGCAGGGACCTGGAGAAAACTGAGCCCCACGGAGGGTCAGGGCCCTGAGGGTCTGGCACAGCCTGGCACAGCCTGGCACAGCCCAGCACAGCCCGGCACAGCCTGGCACAGCCCAGCAAAGCTCAGCACATCCCTGGCACAGCCCAGCACAGCTCAGCACAGCCCAGCACAGCCCTCACCTCGTACAGGCCTGAAGTCACCATTTGCCTCAGCCTTGCTGGGGGCGAAGGGGCTGATGGAGGGGAAGACAATGAGGGTGAAGGAGAGCAGCAGGACCTGGGGACAGAGGGGACATCACTGAGCACAGCAGGGAGAGGAACCAGGAGCTGGCTCACTGCTGGTGGCAGACCCAGGAGTGCATCTGTTCCTCCATCCCTCCCTTCTGGTTCATGTCCTACCAGTGCACCTCCATCTATCCCTGCTTTCATCCATCCCCACCTCCATCCATCCATCATCCATCCATCCATCATCCATCCATCCATCCCTCTCTCCCAGCCCATCTCCACGGCTCCCAGGCTTTGGAGGCCCCACGCACCGCCAGGCAGGTCCCTGTCTGTGCTGCCTTGTTGCTCGACTGAACCACCATGGCCTGGAGCTTCTTCAGCTGCTCCAGGAGGGATCTGGGAAGAGGGAGAGCCCATGAGCCTCCATGCCAACACTTCCCATCCCACCTTGTCCCCATCCTGCCCCAGGAACACCTACGAGTTCTGCTTCTCCAGGTGCAGGACTTTCCTCTGCAGCTCCTGGTTCTGAGCCGTGCACGCCGACATCCTGGGACAGGGAGAGCAGCATGGGGTCAGGGGACAGGGGACAAGGAGCAGAGTGCCCAGGGTGAGGGGCTGGGCTCTGTACCTGCTCTCCAGCCCATCGATGTATTCCTTCTTCTTCTTGCGGCTCTCCTGAGCCGACTGCTTGTTCCGGATCTTCCTCCGGATCTTCTTCAGCACCCGCTCCTCGTACTGGGGGAGACATGGGGGGTCAGGGCCACCAGGGCTGGGACCCCCACTCCACACCCCTCCCAGGTGTCCTGGCACCCACCTTGGTGAGGGGCAGCTGCGTGGGCAGGGTCACCCCCTCCTTCAACAGCAGCTTCTTCTCGTCCTCCGTCAGCACCAGCTCCTGGAAGTGGCCCTGGCTCGGCCGGAGCAGGGAGCCAGGAGCCTGTGGCTGCTGTGGGGACATGGAATGGTGACACCTTTGGGTGGGGGTCACTCCCCACCTGGCCCCAGGGACCCTGGTGAGGGTCCCAGGAAGGGACCAGGATCACAGACAAGGATCAGGAAGGGAAAGGGATCAAGTGTGGGGATACAAGTGTGGGGATGAGGAATAGGGGGATGCTCAGGGTCCAGGAAGGGACAGGGCTGGGGACAGGGAGTGTTGGGGACACAGGGACAGGGACTCACATTGTCAGAGCTGCCCGACAGCAGCAGGTCCTTGACGGTGAGGGCACAGGATGCAGGCGGAGGGACCGCAGGCAGGTCCTGGCTCTCCTCCAGGAAGAACCCAGGGTGCCACATGTCTGGATGAGGGCAGAGCAGGGCTGTCAACAGAGCTATGTCCCCACTGTCCCCAGTGTCCCCACTGCAGGACCCTCCCCCTGCCATGGCCCCAGAACCAGGGTGACTTGCTGCCCAGTCCAGTGCCCCTGACTCTGTCCCCCCAGACTGTCCCTCTGGTCCTGCCCTAGTCCCCCCCACCATCAGTATGCCCAGTTCACTCCAGTTCCCAATCTCTCCACACTCTCCCTATCTCCTCCCTAGCCCACTAGACCTCCCAGTTCTTTCTAGTTTCCCCCAGCTCCCTTAATTTCCTCACAGTCCCCCCCTCCCCCACTGCTCTCAGCTCCCCAGTGCCCCCAGTGCCCCCAGCCTGGTCCTTCCCCAGTGTGGCTCACCCAGGTCGATGGAGACCTCGGGCTGCAGGACCCCAGACCCCGCCGGGAGGGGCTGGGCCCGGCAGGGGTCGGTGTAGGGGTACAGGACCTCTCGGGGACCCCCGTCACAGCTCCGGGGGGGGCTGTCGTGCTGGTCAGAGGGGGGGTCCTCGAACACCCCGCTGTCACTGGTGGCCGGGGACCAGCTGGGCGAGTCAGACACCGAGTCCCCGGAGCCCAGGACGGAGCTCAGGAAGTCCTTGCTGTCCGGGGCACGCTGCGGGGACACGGCACCGTCACCGGGAGCACCCGTGCCCCGGGCTGTGACATCCCAGGGCTGTCACCCAGCAGGGCCGGGGCGGGGTCCGGGGCTCACCCTGTCCTGGGGCCAGGCTCCCGGCGGCGTCCCCAGCTCCACCTCGCGCAGGATCCCGTCCTGGAGGTCGAAGAGGAGATCCAGCAGTTCCAGGCTCTCGAGGCTGCCCGTGCTGGAGGCCATGGCTGTGGGATGGCAGGGTCACTGCCCAGCCCAGGCCCCGTGGTACCCCCCAGAGCCACCCCCACATGAGCTGCACAGCCCTGGGACACCCCGAGTCGTGGGGCAGCTCGGGGGGGGGCAGGGGCATGTTGGGATTCACCTGGAAAAGCCCTACAGGTGTGGGACAGGATGTGGGGGCTCCAGGCATGGCAGTGCTCCCCCCTCCTCCCAGCAGTTCCCAAATCCTCCAGTTTTCCACCCAGAGCTGCCCAGCCAGGGGGTTCCCTCCTGGAGGTGGCCGTGCTGGAAGGGCTGGTTAATCATTCTGGGTGGCAAGTGGAGGGGAGGGGACTGCGGCCACTGGTCACCCCAGGGAGGGGACTCAGTCCCTCACTGCCACCCCAGGCACTGCTTGAGACCCTGGACTCAGGGCCACTGGGCCAGCTGACCACTAGCCCAACTGGCCAATCAGCCAAGGGACATCCCAGCCACCCGACCAGCTGACCCACTGACCAACTGGTTGACCAGTCAGTGAATGAACTGATCAAGAGACACACCAAATGGTCAACCTGTTGGCCAAATGACCAATGGATGGACTGCCCCAACAACCAGCCCACTGACCAATGGACTGACCAGTCAACTCTCTGCCTGATTGACCGACCAACCAACCAACCCATCACCCACCAACTGACTCAAATGTCCTCCAAGCCAGCTGGAGTTGTCATTACTTGACATTTGTCTGGGGCCAAGGGGCTTTATTGCACCCTGTCCTTCACCCTGAATCCTCTCAGAGAATCCTGGTGGCCCCATGGGATCTCACTGAGCAGTGGCAGCCAGGACATACCTGAGGGAGATGCCATAGATTGTCCTCTCAGCCCTCTCTGAGCACAGGGAGCTCAGAGACAACAAGCCCGGCCTTCGCCTTCCTCCTCTTCCTCCTCCTTTGTGATTCCCTGAACCGAATGGCAAAGTTTAAACTCCAACTGCACAGAAATAATATCCTAGATTGCAAAATGCCCCAGCCCTGATTGGGGCCGTCAGAGTGAGATGGCAGGGCCAGCCCGGGGCTGGACCCGTAACTCATTAGCCAAATGTTTTTGTGCTCCTCTGCCAAGCGGGGCAGGAGGGGCCGGGGCTGCCGGGCGAAGTCCAGGTGCTATAATTGTCCATGAACCTTCACCCACTTTTGGGGACAGTTTCCCTTTTTCAGACGTCTCGGCATTAATCACATTGGATGCGTGCTGAGGGCAATATCCGGGGGTGTTTGCTTGGGCTCTACCACTTATGGCTCATCCAAAAACACCTTGGTGCCTTGGTTCTCCCTGGAGAGACACCACTGAGAAGGGATGGAGGGACAGCACACACGGAATGGCTTTCCAGGGACAGAGGGCAGGGATGGACGGGATATTGGGAATTAGGAAGTGTTCCCTGTGAGGGTGGGCAGGCCTCACAGGGAACAATCCAGATCCCAGGGCAGCTGGGGCTGCCCCTGGATCCCTGGCAGTGCCCGAGGCCAGGCTGGGCAGTGGGAGGTGTCCCTGGCAAGGCAGGGGTGGAAAGGGATGTGTTTAAAACCCACCCCAACCCGTTCCCTCACGGCTGTCTCGGGCCCACACGCGGTGCCAAACCCTCAGCCCCTGCAGTGAGGGGCACCAGCACAGCCCCAGCACGCGTCCCCTCATGAGCCGCAGTGAGATCCGGGCACAGGGAGGGGACAGAGCTGACTAAGGCTCCGTGTGGCCCAGGCGTGGCGCGGGGACAAGGCCACGGCCCCTTATCGGCCGCCCCACGGCCTCTGCCCGGGCAGGCGGCGGCTGCTCCCTGCTTTATGGCCCCGCCGGGAGCGGGCAAAGGGCGCCCGCCCGGTGCCGCCACCCGGGGCCCCTCCTGAGGAACCTCGAGGGTCCCGGGGCCTGGCATCGGGCATGGAACGGGATGAGCAGAGCAGGCAGGGGCTGAGGGATTCCTGCCCGTTGCTGGGTCGCTAATTAGTGATTATTTAATTAACGCTCCGCCCACACAGCCGGAGCCCCCCGGAGCCCCTCGAGCGGGGAATCTCCGCCACCTCTTCTCCCCCTCAGCGACATCTCGCGAGACTTCGCCTCGCCGCGCGCTCTTGGGCCCCGCCCCCTGTGCAGGAACGGGGCCCCGCCCCCCCGGCCGTCTGCCCCCACCCCTCGGAGCCC